GCAATATATAAACAGCAGAAATAAATCTTTATCAGAAAAAAATATTAAATATATAAATGATCTGAACTCTCTGTTTAGAGGAAGAAATGGGCAGATAGATATGCAAAAACCACAAGATTAATCTCTATGCTATTTATAGAAGATTTGTTTTTGTTTGTGGTGTTACAGGTGGAGCCCAGGGACTACAGCTTGCTAGATAGTTTCCACTTCTTAGCCACGCTCCAACCCCAACACTTAGATCAAAGGACACAGAAGATGTAAAAAACAAAATTACGGAGCAAGATATTTCATGCATCGCCAGACTGTGGAGGCTCACGCCTTTAATCCCAGTACTCGGGAGGCAGAGGCAGCAGATCTTTGTGAGTTCAAGGACAGCCTGGGCCACAGAGGGAGTTCAGGACATCCAGAGCTACATAGAGAAACTCTGTCTTGAAAAGCAAAAACAAAGGGAAAAAAGGCAAATCGTGTCCAAAGAGCAGATGCAAATTTACAACTATTGTCAGACGAAATACATCTTATGTCAAAGCCCCAAAGAGATATTAAAAGAAATAAAAATCACAGACCAACATTCCTTATGAATACAAGGGCAAGCTCCTCAACCAAACGTGAGCACATGAACCTCGCAGCATGTTATTTGCCATGATCAAAGGGAGATTGTGGTTAGGCTGCTGCAAGGATTCCGTTCTACAAAGAGCCATCACTTCTCTGTACAACACTGAAAGAATTAAAAAGGAAAATACACAGTCATCCCAATAGATACAGAAAAGCCTTTACAAAAGTCAACACCTTTTCATGGTAAACAAACCAACACAAAACTTCTGGCTGATTCCTGACTCTCAGTCCCAGGTTCTGTGGCATTTCCTTTTAGGGTCAAGCAGCCTCTGGTCAATGCCTCGTCTAATTCTCTGAGAAACTATGTATCAGCATCTTTGTGAACATATATTTGTGAACATGTTTGCTGCATACACATGAAATTAGAAAAAGGCCTGGCCCAAACCTGGCAATTAGGCAAAATGATAATGATAGTGATCATGGTGATAGATAGATAGATAGATAGATAGATGGATGGATGGATGGATAGATAGATAGATAGATAGATAGATAGATAGATAGATAGATGTATCCAAACTGGAATGAAGAATGTTAAGTCCACCTCTGTCCACAGATGACATGATTTTATACTAAAACGGACCACAAAACTACTAGAGCTCATAAAAACATAGTTACAGGATAAAAACATCAGCAACCAAAAGCCATTGAACTCTCAAGGCTTACAAGGAACAATCCTTAAGAAAATTGAGGAACAATTTAACGTATAATAACATAAAAAGAAATAAATACTTAGTAAAGTTAGCCAATGAGATGAAAGAAGTGTACGCCAAAAACTATAGAATATTGTGGAAAGAAATTACCTAAATAAGTCAAAAGATACCCTAGTCATAGACTAGAAGACTTAGGAAGTCAAAATGGCCCAAAGCAATCAACCAGTCATACAATTTATAACAGAATCCTAATGACTTGTTAAAAAACACAAATAGGAAAAGCTATCCTTAAAATTCAAATGGAAGCCGGGCAGTGGTGGCGCACGCCTTTAATCCCAGCACTTGGGAGGCAGAGGCAGGCGGATTTCTGAGTTCAAGGCCAGCCTGGTCTACAGAGTGAGTTCCAGAACAGCCAGAACTACACAGAGAAACCCTGTCTCGAAAAACAAAAGAAAAACAAAAAAATTCAAATGGAATTGCAAGGAACAAAGAGGAATAATCTTTAAAAGAAGGGTGAAGTTGGGGACTCACACTTCCTGGTTCTGAAACAGGCAGAGCTGCTGCAGTCTGCAGTGTAGTGCCAGTATAGACAGGAGTCCAACCAGAGCAGCTGGATAGGGAAGGCAAGCAAGCCTTTGCCTGTAAGAGCAGATGGTTTCCTTACAAGCATACCATGAGCATCCAATGGGACAAAAGCCAGTCTTTTCAATGAATAGCTGGTATCATTTAAATTAGGATGTCATACATTTAGGATGTTATATCAGTGTTGAAGGAATGCTGGATAGACACATGCAAAAGAACAGTTAAGTCCTTACCCAATACCATTTTTTTTTAAATAACTCAAAGAGCCAAATGTGGTGACCTATCTCTTTAATTCCAGCAGAGGCAGGCTGAACTCTGTGAGTTCAAAGTCAGCCTGGTCTATAAAGGGAGTTTCAGGATAGCCAGAACTGTTACACAGAGAAACCCTGTCTCAAAAACAAAACAAAACACACACAAAAAAAACAAAAAAACCCAAAACAATAAAGTAAACAAACAAATATTGATCAAAGACTTAAAAGCCTTTAAAGCTAAAAATTGGGCTAAAGAGTTGAATAGACATTTCCCTAAAAATTTTCAGTGAACAAACAACAGGCACAGGGAAAAACACCCAGCTCAACACAGGGCAAAGATAAACCAGCAAGAGGCTGAGTCCCTGGCTGGGATTGCTACAGTGCTTAGATAGGGGACAGGGACAGACAGTGAGGACTCTGTGCGTCAAATGGGATCAAACAATGTTGTGGTCACTTTGTCAAGTGGCTGGCAACCAAGTCACCATGGGAGCCAACAATTCCACAACTAGGTAGCTGTCTAGCCAAAAGAATTAAAACATACTGCCCAAACTATAAACACTCTCACAAAAGCATTGTTCTCAGTCCCTAGAGAGTGGCAACCACCCAAATGTTGGTCAGCTGATGAATGAATAAAAAAATAGTTTATCCCCAGAATGCGATATTACTTAGTTATGAGCATGTAGTACTGGTCATGCTACAACACGGGTGATCTGTGAAAACATGTGAAGCAATAAGGAACACAGAATCACAGCACACACTCAGGGTGATGCTGCCGATACAAAATATATATATATATATATGAAAAAAAAAAGCAAACCTCTAGAGATGGGAGGTGGAATAGCTGTAGTCTGAGGCTGGAGGTGGGAGAAATGAAGATTAAGAGGGTTTCTTTTGGGATATTGGAAACATCCTAAAATCAGGTTGTGGTGATAGCTAAACAATTGTGATTATACTAAAAAACGGAAACTCCTGCCATCCCTGTGGAGTGAGTGAGACAGCAGGCCAGCTAGAGAGTGGCTCCACGACCCACCACAGCTACTGCGTCAGACCGCGAGACTGACCCGGAGAAGCTGTGCCCACCCTTCTTTCTCACCCACCAACCAGATCCATGTAAAGCCCAAGAAGCCCTGCCCAGCACCTAGGATAGGCAGGGGACCCCGGAGGGTGACAGCCACTGAGGCAGTAAGGAAGCTTGAGGAGACAGCTCCGTTGGTGGAATTCCTCTTGTAGCCTAGGCCGGTGCACTGGGCTCAGATCAACACAGAGGCTCCCGAGTACCCTGAAACCCAAGAGTTGGCGGGACCTCCAATTTCTAAAGGCCTGCTGTCATGCTTGACGAGATGGCAGGAGCTGCTCTATGGAAGATTGATGAGGCCCAAACTATGGCTTTTTGCTATTAATCCGAATACTTGTCGGTTTTTCTTCTTCTTCTTCTTCTTTTATATATGTATATAAAACAGTTTTCTATTTGAGTAAAACAAAATTGTTATGTGAAATATATTAGAGTGGTTACTTTTATTTTCTATTATTATTATTATTACTATTATTGTTACTACTGTTACTATTACTATTACTATTGCAGTTTTTGAGGCAGAGTCTCACTATGTCGCCCTGGATGTTCTGAAACTCACTATGTAGACCACGCTGGCCTCAAACTCACAGGGATCGGCTTGCCTCTGCCTCCCAAGTGCTAGGACTAAAGGTGTGCGCCACTACACCTAGCTAGTGGTTTTCTATTTTTAATTTCATGTGTAACTGTTTGAGCTTTTATTGTTATAGAGAAACTGTGAATAGAAAGAATATATACCTATTTCATGATAGTACAAATATAATAAATATTAAAATAATTATTTCAAATTTTAAATTATTTAAAATATTAAAATAAGTTGAAGGATTTTTGTTGTTGTTTTTATCTGTTTTTAACTTCCCAGAACATTTGCTTGTGACTCTTCATGAAGGTCTGAAGGATTGAAAGCAGGTTTGTGGTTTTGAGGTCCATTTTATAGGTGAAGAGACTTATCCAAGGCCAAGGGCTAATGTGCAAACTATGAACACCAGTAACTTGAACTCTCTACCTGTCCTGGCTCTCACTCCAGCACTCAGAAGCTGCTGTGGGTTCTAGCACATTCTTCCTGATTCCTAATTCCTGGTCCCAGGTCCTCTGATATTTCCTTTTGGGTCAAGGTGGCCCCTGATCACTGCCTCTTGCAATTCTCTGCGAAATTTATTTGCATCCTTGGTGGACATGGTTGCTGGACAGAGATGGAAATCCTAGCAAAGGCCTGCCTGGGCCTAGCTTGGGGGTGGGATAGGTAGAGCTGCTGTGAGCTGTGGGTCCTCTGCCTCGGAGGAAACTCTTTAAACTACCCCAGTGACACTATAGGATAAACGGCCCTGATTCATCGGCAATAATCAGCAAGATAAGTAGGAAGGCAGATGAGGACAGGTAGAGATTGAAAGACAGAACCCATTTTCTCCTGCAGGCCATGAAGAACTGATTTGAATCTGTCCACCGGGGACACACACCATCGGCACTTGCTCAACGCCTGTGCTTGCAGGCACTTTGCAATATTAAGAGTTCTTAGAAATTCACGACAGTTAAGTCGGGGCAGAGTTCTAAATGCTGAATCCTGAGGCATCTAAAATCTACCAGACTCACTTCAAAATAATTCAGAGGCACTAGGAGAAAAATCTGGAGCACATGGATAGAGTAAGAAGGGTCCTCCTGTTTGGCTGACTCCATTCCCCCTAGCAGGCGAGACCTGACCCTGGAGGCCTCTTCTGTGTGAGGACTGAAGCTGTCCCAAATCTGAGTAGCCTTAGCTTCTGTCTATGGTGGCACTGCTGGATCCCCAGCCCCCCAGAGCACCCTCTTGGCCCTCACCCACCATGGCTGGCTACTCACCACGCGCCTGTGCCAACGTCTCCAGCCTCCTGCCTGCCCTGGCCCACGCCACTCATTACTCAGGGCGTTTATTATTAGCCTGAGATTTTGTTAGGCCTAGGCCACACTTCCTGGGTTTTCCCCTTCGACCTGGGGATGTAAATAAGCCACCCTGTTAACCTGCGCCTGCGCCTTAGTCCAGGGAGTACAGGTGAGCAACCTGTCCCTGTTGGCTTAGCAGTGGGGGCTTAGCCTAGTTGTGTTATGATGGGCTTGGACACTTCTAGATCTTCCCTGGCCTAGCTCCTGGGCCTGGTCCCTGTCCACTGCCCACTCTCCAGGCTAGGATGCCCAAACAGCTCTTGTTCTCCCTACATATCCTTCCCTCCTCTTGGACCCATCACATCTGTGTTGCTGCCTGGTCAGTTCTTGCTGTCCTTTCTTCAATGCTCAGTTGAAGTGTCACCTCTCCCAGGAAGCCATCTGTGTCTGCCCCATGACATTTGGTACCGGCGTTCTGTGCAGTCCCTGCAGACCTGGATTTTGCTTCAGGGTCTGATGCCTTGGTAAGGATTTATGTTTAAAGTGACTCGTACCTCCATGCTCTCATTTGAAAAGTGGACCCTTGAGTCACTGTGGGAATGATTTGAGTTCACACGGTCACTTGATTGTTCTTTGTCTGGTTTTTAGTTCTTTTGACACAGGTGTCACTAAGTTCTCCAGGACTGGCTTGAACTCAAGACCCTCCTGTCTCAGACTCCAGAGTGTTGGGATTTCAAGTGTGCGCCACAACACCTGGCCACCACAGGCTCATTCTTACAGCAAGTTCTCAGCACACAGTGACCGAAAACTCCATGTCTGATAAGTGACATGCAGAATCAGTTCCACAGCCCTGATGACTGTGCTTCAGCCTCATTTCTATAGACTCCCAGGTCTTCAGAGTCTTGCAGGGGTAAGAAAGCCCAACAACTACACTCCCAAGATCACTAGTACTGTTCACAGCAGCCCAGATATGGAGTCAATCTGCACGTCTTCAGTGGATGTGTGTAAACAATGGGATTCTCTTCATTTCTCAAAAGAGAAGGAAATCCTGTCATTTGTATGAACATCGATGTAACTGGAGAACTTCATGTGTAAAAAAAGAAGTCAGGCTGGATGTGGTGACGCACGCCTTTAATCCCAGCATTTGAGAGGCAGAGGCTGGCAGATCTTTGAGTTCTCAGCTAGCCTGGTCTACAGAGCTAGTTCCAGGACAGCCTGGGCTACACAGAGAAACATTGCCTCAAACAAACAAACAAACAAACAAACAAACAAACAAAAGAAAAAGAAGTCATGACATAAAGCGAAGGCCCAACAGGTATGTACACTGATGCTGCCCTTCAGATGACCGGGGTTCAACTCTCAGCACCCACATGATGGCTCACAAACATCTGTAACTTGGGTTCCAAGGGATCCAATGCCCTCTTCCGGCCTCCAGGGACCCCAGACATATGTGTGATGGACAGACACATATTCAGGCAAGACACCATACACATAAAAATTTAAAACTTGAAATCAATTGTTTAAATAGAAAGAAAAAGGAGTCAGTCACAGAAAGACAAAAGCCACATGTCTTCACTCCGGTGTGGGGCACAGAAATCTTATAGCAGCAAAGAAAATCGGTCATCGGAGGCTGTGGAGGGTGGGGACACGTTGGTCAGAAGGTCCCAGCTTCAGCTAGGTAGTTCTGTGGTTCTGATGCAAAGGAGGGTGACTATGGGTCATAGAAATATGCCATGTAACTCAAAACAGCTCCATAACTGCAGTGCAGCTCAGCGGTCAAGCATGGATGAGGCTGTGTTCACCCTCAGCACTGGACAGCAAAATGGCACATACCCGTAATCCCAGCACTCAAGAGGCTAAAGTAAAGAGATCATGAGCTCCAGGCTAGCCTGGGCTACATAATGGAGAGTATGGGCTGGGGGAGAGAGAGACAATTTAGGACCTGGAGGTAGGGGAGGCCCTGGGTTCAATATCCAGCACAGAAGGGAGGAGGAAGAGAGGGAAATAGGGAGACAGTGAAGAAAGGAGAAAGGGGGAAGGGAGGAAGGAATGGAGGGGGAGGGAGGAAGGAAGGAAGGGTGGGAGAGGGAAGAAGGAAGGGAGGGAGAGCAGAAGGAAGGGTGGGAGGAAGGAAGGAAGGAAGGAAAGAAGGAAGGAAGAAACAAAGGAAGGAAGAGTGGGAGGAAAGAATGAAGGGAGAAAGGAAAGAAGGGAGGAAGGAAGGGAGGGAGGGAGAGAAGAAGGAAGGAATGAAGTAAAGAAGGAAACTAAACTGTGACAACTCGATGTCATCCATCAGGTTCTAATTCTCCGAAGGATGATCCTGAGACAAGTGACAGGTGAACTAAGGAAATGTGAACATCCTTCTGATGGCACTTCTGGCTGTCAGAACCATTTTAGGGGACCATCTACCCAATACTAACCCCTGAAACCTAGAGAGCCCACCTGGAAGCTTGTCAGTGGCAACAGGAGGCCGACAGCAATGTGGCTGCCATCCACTGGACAGTGACTGAAAAGCCAGGGTGCAGAGGTCAAAGGCAGCACGAGCATTGTGGAGATGTGCAAGAGGCTGGGCTCAGTAAAGTGCTACAGCAGGATGCTGACAGTAGGATGCACACACACATACATCCATATGTACCCATACATACATACACATGTAGACATACATGCACATATACACATACAGACACATTCACACATACAGACATACACACATGCATATACATACATGCACACATACAAACACATACACAAGCATATACACATGTACACATAAATGCACATACACATACAGACAGACACATTTGCACATACACACACATATATATTATATACATGCACTCATACAAACACATACACATGCATATACACACATACACACATATGTACACAAGCACACATATACATGTATATATGTACAAACGTGTACACATGCATATGCACATATACAAGCATATACACATGTACACATGTGCACGTACACGCATGCACGTGCACGCACAGACACACACATGCACACATACATACACTGGTGCTATTTTTCCCAGGACTGTGTGCCTAAGAATGTGACATATGACAAGATGGGACAGAAGGGTGATGTCTGAAAGAACCCAAATCCTACATGGGAGGTTTTCATAGCTAGTGTTAATGAGCTACAACCAGCAAAGGCCAAGGGAGTGATAGGTAGAGCCCACTGCCAGGAACATTCTGCCTATGGGTACAGGGCAAGCTCAGGGTCGGTGGAATGCCTGGGTCGTGTTCCCTTCCTTGCCTGTCTGGACTTGTTAGAACTGGTCTCTGCTGCCTCACTGAGGACTGCATGCGCCTCTCTGGGACTGCTAAGCACCCGACACCTTCCAGAACTGAAGCTGGGATGTATTAGACTGGAGAGGCTGTCCTGGGCCTCACACACTATCTTGGTCAATACTTACAATGTTCTGTGCATAAACGAGAAGCAAGCAACACCCTGGCTGTTCTGGGGAGGCAGCAGGGAATAAAAGGGGAGGGTCCCTTTAGTCACATCTAGTCACCACAGGCTGACGCTCCAGTGCACATGTGCTCTCTCAGAATAGTGCTGGCAGTTTCCAAACCTCATTCTGAAACCAGACCTTTCTGTGCTGTCTCCAGGGGCACCACTGGCTTCTCACTGTGAGTCACACGGCCAAAGTTTTAGAACCCGGAATAAAGACACTTTGTACCCTCAGTGGCTTGAGAGCTGGTTCATTTACACCAGTGGGGTCCAACAACTAGAACTCATAGGCAATTGAGACAACTGCAGAGAGCATACCCCACGCCCTTGAGACACCTGCAGTGCCTCTGGAGTATGTGACTGTTCTTGTGGCCCTGCCTTTGCTTACATCATGCTGGCTAGGACAGCTCAGATTTGGTGTTTCCCATGTGACTCAGTCCCCGAAGTACCATCTTCCAGCAGCTGTCATGGGGACCATGAGGTTTGCTGGGGCCCCAGCTCTGCTTCAGTGCTTCACTCTGTTGTGTTGTACTGTCTCCCTGAAGGCCTTGAGTGGCCTCGGTGGAATTACGTCATCGAGGGAATGTCACCCATTATTACTGGCCAACACTGCTTGTGCATGTGGTGGGGTTTCCACCCACAGACTCTTGGGGACAGCTAGCTCTGACTTACCTCCCCTCTCGTGCCTGTATTGAGGCATACTACCTGATAATATCCTCTGAGTAGGTTCTGGGATAAAGAAATGTCCAGAAAGGAACATTTTTAGAATTGTGGCTGAAGCCCTTGTCAAGACAGCAATTTATACATGAGATGCCAATGACCGTTTCCTAGAGGTGTAAGACACAACAAAACTTAGTTTGAAGAAGCAGACAATAGCATCTTTGTTATAGGAGACTCCAACTTCTTATGGGAGGAGCTGGGCACTGTTTAATTGTGAAAATTTTAAAACAAAGATCAAGACCGAGAGGAGAGTACAATCCATCACAACTGATCTCTGCTGGTTCAGAATCTCTTCAGCTATGCCCATCTCTGCCTCCCATCCTGCTGAACCCCACTGCTGTCTCCAAAGCCTGTTGTTTCTCCATTCTTGTTTGTCTAGAGCAGTGATTCTCAACCTGTGGGTTGCAACTCCCTCTTTTTGTAGCAGGGGGGCAAATGACCCTTTCATGGGAGTCACATGATCAGATACCCTGAATTTATTTACACTATAAATAGCATAAATAAACATATTCATAACAGTAACAAAATTACAGTTATGAAATAACAATGAAAATAATTTTATGGTTGAGGGTCACCACAACATGAGGAACCGTATTAAAGGGTCACAGCATTAGGAAGGCTGAGAGCCAGCGGTTAGACTGTTCTTTATTATTTTTAATCTTCCATTTCTTCTTTGATCTACACAGTAGTTTATAACAATGTCTCGTCATGTGCTGAAGGCTTGGTCTGGGGCCTGAGGAGCTCCTGGGAGGAGGTGGGCACTGTAGGAGACGGAGCCTGAGGAAGGAAGCTGAGCTGGTAGGAGCCTGGCCTTCTCTGTCTCTTTGGTCC